TGTGCCAATAGGCATATTATCTTATATGATATCTTTACTTTCTCAGTGTGCCCTTGTACAACCAATGATACATAGTGTTCATAATCGCGTTACTCGTACGTTTATCTATGCATGGTTGAACCTTGTTCTCTTTCTGTCGTAATGCGCTTCTCATTCTATATCACCATTCACTTGTATATTATATGTATTGTTACTCTATTGTTCTTCTATATCTGTTCTCTCCTTGGCCTCGTCACTTGTTCATTCTTACATTGTTCTCTCCTTGGCCTCATCATCTTTCTTTTCATCATCTCTTATTCTGCTCGAGTATATAAACGTGTGCTATGTATGTAAACGATACGATTGTATGATATGAAGAAATAGAATAAAGTGTAATACCATCAACACTAGTCTAACTTCTATCATTGATCGTCACATAACGATTAAATGATGGGAAGGGTTAGAATTAAGTGTATCATCACCGTCTCTCACCTTCACTAACATTGCTTCCACCTTCATCATCATTTTTTCGTTACAATAATGTTCCATCAATATTCGAAACAATATTTGTAATACCAACATGATCCATTTCTTTATCTCGTTTAAGATATAATTTTCAACGAATGAATCCATTCGTCGTTACCACATACGAGATATTCAGCTGAAAAAAAAATATTCAATTTCATTATTGTCATCAATGAACGTTTTTTGTTTAATAGATTTTAGAAACGTTTCTATAAATCTATGAATAACAAGATTCAATCTCAAGAATAATATCTAATTAAAAAGAAACGAATCATACTAACGTGAATTGATTCGATCATCACTAGTAAATAAATAAATATCACCATTAATACCAATTGCCATTGCCGGAACAGACATTAATGATTTTGAAGTATTAAACACAAGTTTTCATGATTTTTCAGTATAATTTGTTGGTCTGGATAGTATTCTTCGATGAGTATTACATGCATTACCCATTTCATGAAACCAAATTTTCTCATCCACGTTTTTATATACACGAGTCAAATCAATAAAAGCTATGAATGTTGTAACAAGAATAATAAAATATATATTCCAACAATCCATTGTTTCTTTTGTCTTATTCAATCGAGTCTTTATGATAAATAAATAAAGGGTGAAATGTACTAACAGATTTTAATATTCTCATATTTAAATGACAATGTTAGTCTAAGAATGATGTTGCATACATTACCATCAATGACAAGCAAAAATCTCTTATTTTCATTTGTTATTTTTTATTGATAAGCTTTCTAAATATTTGACCTTTTTTCTTGAAATCTTTTCTGTGTATTTGTCCTTTTAGTACATGCTATGAAACTTTGTTTGTGAAATAACGTTTAGCAATCAAATATAATCATAACCGCTTTCTAATAAGTAACATTTTTCGAGATAGCATTATTTTTTTTTTTAATTAAATATTCTATTTTTGAAGAAAATAATAGAGAATGAAAACTTAAATTCAACTTTTTGCGACCCTTCGCCTTGCCTCAAATCCCAGCAGCTGGTGAAGAGTAAGCGAAAGATTATTACATAGGCATCCCTAGCAACAGAAAATGCTGCGTAAGTAACATCAGTGTTTATATGATTCTGTAATTCTGCAGATACTAAATATTTAGTCTACATATTGCAGAATTTGGATTCTCATTCAAAAAAAGGATTTATTGTAGGTGGCAATCAATAGGGCGATCGTATTTTTGATGTAGAAGAGTCAGAATAGGATGAACATAGAAAAATAAGAACTAATTCAATTCGAATTTTAGACAAAACTTAGCAATCATGTCAAAATTCATCGAAAGAAATATATATGAATTTAATACACATCTTAGTAGTAAAAAATTGTCTGACTTGAATTGTAATTTTGTCGAGTCAAAATAAATCAAAAATGACTTGACTTGCCCATTGTTATTTTAAACACAAATATTGTATAAGATAGACGGTGCTACTTCGATAAACAAATGTTGCTAATCGAACATCAATTGTGTGCTAATGAGTCCATAGACATTGGTCTTGTCAGTGAGTCTATTTATTGACTGTTGTATCGAAAACTTTTCTTTGGTCTTGCTTCGAGTATTGATGATCTTTTCTTACATCCCTGTTTTTTTCCTTCAGCTTCGCATCAGCTTATCGTCGATGGACAGTAATGATAAGTTAGTTAAATTTGTCTCATTTTCCTCTGTATGCTTAGCAAATAAAACACTTCATGTAGAAATAACAACCAATCCTATACAGTTATAAAAAGATTTCCACGTGTTAATAAGAAAATAAAAAAATACAATCATACATCGAATCGGTAAAAACAGTTGCACTGAAAATTAAGCATATTTGAAGAGTAGTTCAAAGGCTAGCATTAGAAAGTTCGTTAAGTATTGAGGAAGTATCAACATAGTCATCAAATTTAACCCAGGAAGGATAGAATTTATAGTCAGTTCAAGCATTATTTCTGAAGTAAAACTATTGCATTCTCTTTAACATAAATCTCAAGTACACTCCAGCTCCATAGACATGAGAAGAATTTGTATGAAACTATCTATATCCCATAATTTGGACACTTTTGGCTTTTAGAGTACAACTGAACAGATTTCTGTGTCTTATTAACACAATTTTCAAGAATAGTGACATGTTTTTTTTTATTAGTTAGATTTCAAGACTCTAAATAGCTTTATTAATGAAGAAACTACAATTTATTTAACTATAAAAGATATATGTCTAAGCAAGAAATAATAAAAGGTGCAATTTCTATTCGATAACCATTGGCAGATCAAGTTTGATGATGCCTTTAATATCTCGTCGCACTTGCACATACGTGCCTTCATCTGCTGCTTTGTCCATAATAGGATGTTTCTGCATTTGACGACCATAGATGGCAAAGAAACATGTAGATATAATCATACGTAATCGACCATTTTCATATGCACTGATATGAACACCTTCGTCAAAAGATGATACGGGTGTTTGTGGATAAACTTCCCAGTTTGGTGGAACATCTAAACCGAATAATGGAAGCTTATCGAGTGCAACGTAGTTGAAATTTCGTTGTAATTCTTCAAGGTTAACCGTGTCTTGCTGAAGTGGGTTTTTGAAGCCAATACTTATAGATATTCCAGGACTTGAATACGTGTAAATCGTTGGTGTAAGTTGATGAAGTGAACCTTCAGAAATTTGAAGCTCAATTTTGTTTTCATGCTTATTGAGCCAGTCGACAATCTTGTCCTCTAAATCGTGTGCTACAGTTGATGACATACTTTGTCGTTTTGAAAAATGGATGAATGAATGAGAGCAATAGCGAGAATAATAGAGAAAACCATCATTCACCTTGTAAACACGTGCATAGTCGATAAAAGAAAGAATAATACATAATGTGTATTCGCATGAAAAAATATACATCGGTAAAGTTAATAGCTGATTTGAGTTATATCGTTGGTGATTCATCCAGGAATGTATTCTTAAGTTCCTATTCTAGTTTCAAGTTTAACTCATTGAGCTCTATGCAGTGGATATAATCATATTTTTAATAGTCGAAACGATATCTCCAAAAGTTTTAAAATCGTAATATGTATATAACGTTATATTTAGATTTGATTTAACTCATAATTGGGTTTCATATATCTCATATGATACAGTTATAACTTGCATGCTAGCTGAGACAATAGATGTGTTATTGAAAATATAATATAACACTACTATTTACATAATGTTTTCATGTATTCTATGACAAAAGACTAGATTATTTGAGAGTTTCAGAAAATTTTATTTGTTTTTAAGATTAATCTCGTCCTCAGAAAGTGTCAATTGCATTAGAAAACGATTATATAGAAGATATTTTTTTTATATATCAAATGAGAACAAATTATTTTTTAATATATTCATGTTTGAAGTACAATCATTTTAGAATAACAACTACAAAATTATATTAAAAGATGAAATCTTGATATTTTAAAAGAAAAACTACTATTGGAAAAATTTCAATTGTTCGATTAATTGACAAAGATCTTGTTCAACAACAGTTGCACGTTGAATTCAATAAAAAAAAATAGTGTTTTACTTATAAGTCATTTTCAATTACTTACTACGAGATTCAAGTGTTTGTAAAGATTTTGATCACTGTCAAATGAAAATACCATAATATGCTTGTTTGAAATTGAGTCGAACTTATCAAGAGTCACAGATTTAAAAAATTGTGTAATTTTTTATGACAAACAACTTTATCATTAAGCTTTATTGAACAATAGTAAATTTTTATATGAGGGTCTGGGTGTTGGCGATGTGCTAAGATTTCTTCTCACCATCACCCACACTCTACTTAATATTTATCTACGCGGCTCCATAAGTTCGAAAATAATTCGTTAGATTGGTTTGCATCACATTGCTGAAATATATTCATCAGCAAAGTTTTAGCTTGTAGTATGTTTTCGTTTGTTTTATGATACAATGATACATGGTCAAAATCACTGTATTGTTCAGGAACTTGAAAATTCAATATCTCAGGATAGGAAGACGATGGACCCGAATACTTGTAGGATTATTATAGACTCGATATTCCACCTATATGCCCAGAATATTAGCTCAAAAGCGATGAATTACTTCGAAAGGTTCTCTCGTGAGATGTTATTCCAACTGGATTAAAAAAAGTCCATCGGAAAATTGTCGAAGAAAATTCTAGGAAATGTTTTTTTTGCATGGAAGAAACTAACATTTAGCTTTTACACAGATAGATGAAAATTGTTCAATGATTGATACATATTGTTGTCTGTGTCTATTTTTTTATGTTCAATGTTGAATAATTCGATCAAGTGATGATCGAAATAAGACTTCGCAAATAGTATATTCACTTCAATCTGCATTGATAATAAGAGCGTTAAGTATACATATGTGATATCTTCATATATTCGATTGATTTCTTTGCTCTCTGGAGTTACTGGAGGACGAAAATCCTCAAGGAGTATTGTATTCAAAACTTGTTGTCACAAACAGAGTAAAGAAAAGATTTTTATTCATGATAGCATTTTCCAGCTCACAAAGGATTGCTAAACAATAGTTTCTGAGCGTCTTTTCTGAGGTCAACAAGCGAAATGCTAAAGTTATCTAATATGAGACGAATGACAAAAAGCTTGCTCTCTTGTAGTAGGTTCTGACTGTTTTGAAATTCTTGCGATACATTATTCATCAAACACTTTTCCACAATCGTAAAGATGTTGACATCTTTGTATTAGAACACTTTCCTATCGTAGTATTTATCACCAGAGTTCCCGATGAAAAAACATTCCACAATTGGTCCACTCGGTAATATTGTGGAATACGCATGTTCTATCGGGATGAATGTTGAATTCCTACTATTTTGAATAAACTATTGTGAGCATTTATTCGCTAGGAAATCACGTCT